ACAGACTTAAAAGTCAGCCTATGTTTAAGGGTTTGATAAGGAATGTAAGTTCAGAGATAACTTTGTAATGGTTAGCAGTCTCCTGAGAAATGTCTTTTTTTTTTTTTTGCGGTACACGGGTCTCTCACTGTTGTGGCCTCTCCCGTTGCGGACCACAGGCTCCGGACGCACGGGCTCAGCGGCCATGGCTCACGGGCCCAGCCGCTCCGCGGCACGTGGGATCTTCCCGGACCGGGGCATGAACCCGTGTCCCCTGCATCAGCAGGCAGACTCTCAACCACTGCGCCACCAGGGAAGCCCCTGAGAAATGCCTTGATTTCTATTCATCAAAGCCCAGATTCTCAAGTTAGACAAAGCAGTTGAACCAACAGTGATTAGGCCCACCCTTGGCTGGATCTTGAAGGGAAGTAAGTTGGTGAGGATCCCTAATACTGATACAACAGCTTTGGGGGAGATGGACCAATGAGATGAATAGCAGCTGGCAGGGATGGCAATAGCACCAAAAAGACCAAGCCCTGATCACTGGGCCAAACATCCATTGTTTGAATGATGTCCAGAGACCCACCCGTACTCCTGGTTCTCTGAAGGACAAGAAACCTGGGGTCCCAGTACCTGAGCCATGGTCTAGCACAGTGGTATTCAGTATTCCTATTTTAGATGGGTCAAGAAAGACGTTAATGGACCAGCCTTCGGTTTATACATAGGCAGTGGCAGAACCAGCAACAAAATCCAGATGCAGTGGCTTCAGGTAAGAACCATTGCTATAAACCTGTGTGGCACCCTTTTGAGTATCTTGGAGGTTAACTCCAATTTGGGTCTGGTATCCCGTAGCCCTGTGCTTTAGGGTAGCCTCACTCTGGCACCAGGGATGTGAATCCTGATTAGTTTTAAATCAGTCACCAGGCCAGGTACTGTTGTAGGAGGGGATGGATGACATGATCATGGCCAACAAAATGTGTGTGTGTGTGGCGGGGGGGTACTTTGCTTAGAATGCTTCTGGAAAAGATTTTCTTTGCTCTTAAAAAGAGGATGAACAAGCAGTAGTTTCTCTTTTTAAAGACTTGTTGTGTGAGGATTTGATGCTTAGGCTCCCTGTGGCCATCTAGCCCCTCTAAGAAAACAAGACCAAGGACATCCAACACAATGAGGATGACAAAGTAGAAAAATGCAAAGAACTTATATTCTTTTTTTTTTTTTTTTTTTTTGCGGTCCGCGGGCCTCTTACTGTTGTGGCCTCTCCCGTTGTGGAGCACAGGCTCCGGACGCGCAGGCTCAGCGGCCACGGCTCATGGGCCCAGCCGCTCCGCGGCATGTGGGATCTTCCCGGACCAGGGCACGAACCCGCGTCCCCTGCATCGGCAGGCGGACTCTCAACCACTGCGCCACCAGGGAAGCCCAGAACTTAAATTCTTGATGATATATTTGAGATCCTAAATTTACTCTGGAAGGTCCCTATATTGTGTCTCAGTTTTACACGATACTCATTTTCCTTATTGTTGAAACCACTTTTACTTTCATCTTCTGACACTTGCAGTCAAAAGCACCCAAAGTGACAACTCTGTCACTTGCTTCCCATGTGTTTTTCTGAGGTCTAGAAGCATACGAGGTAATTTGCAATGAAGCATGCTCTGTGATTTGGGAGCAGACTGGACTTGATTCAAGAGCAATTTATTACCTGTTTGGGTAAGTCACGCTCAGCTTCATGTTCATCACCTGTAAAATGATAGCAATTATTTTATTTCACAGATCAATAGAATAAGGTGAGAGCATTTTGTACACCAGTGTAAGTTCTTTTAATCAGAAGATGCTTTTGAAAGAAGGTAAATGTAGAGAGGAGTCCAAGTTTGCTCCAGCGTCCAAATTTTGACACTCAATGTTTTCACCGTTTTGTCTTAACAACAGCATTACTGAAATAATGTCAGTCAGGGAACAGTTGGGAGCACAACTAGGATGAACAGGATTCTGATTGGCTCCCTCTGAGCTCAGCAGAAAGAGTATCATGATCAATGATCAGTGTCTCCCATGGGACAGATGTGGTGGTACCTGGGTACCTGGGGCACTTACATCACTCGTTTCCATACTATTTTGAGGCATTTTCAATTTAATTTTGAGGCATTTTAGATTTCACTTCTGCCTGCCAATTGGTTTTGGCCTAGTGGGTGGGGTAGCTGTATATAAACCTGTACAACTATCTTAATTGTTTAAACACAATTGAAACTTAAAATATTTATTTTGTTCTTGATGTAATCTTTAAGTATAAAAGTTGGATACATTTACAAAATAGTCTTTCTTGAGTTTTGGATAACACCTATCTCAAAACTTGAAAATATAACCAAAAAACCTCACCGGCAGAAATATTATAAACATAGTTTTTATTTTTTTCTTACCTTCAAGGAAAAAGGCCTCATGCCACCAAAACATTTCTTTGAAACCCAGTAACTGAAGACAGAACTCGATAGCCTGGTGATTATTTTTCCAGACAACTGAATAATTTATATTGCTTTAAAAAAAATAACTAAGATCTATTTTTATTATTTCAGACCTTTTTAAAACAGCAATATCTCCCTCATTTTTTTCATAAAAATCTAAAATATCTCTAGTAGTCCTAAGTGTCTTGTACTTATATTTGTTCCAAGTGTTTGTTTCATTAAAAGATTCCAGAAATAAGTGCACTTCTATAGAGAAAATAAAATTTAAATAAAGACAAGAGGAAATAATCATGGTTGTACCAAAACGGTTATTTTGAATGTTCTCAGTCTTAGCAATTCAAAGAGAGAGTGTGTTTGGTGGGCAGGGACCTCTCTACCGATTAAAAGCTCAATTCGTTTATTTGTAGATCATTGATAGATGGATAGCTGTTTCTCCTACCAGTAGATACTGATGGGTTGATTGTCTAAAGGTTTTCTACAATAAAGCACCAAAAATAAATGTACTTAAAAATGTTTTGAGATTTACAGATTTACACAACGATAACGGGCGTTTAAAAAAACAGAAAAAGTATGTTATTATAGAAATAAATGAAATCCTATCTTGAGCCTTAGCAACCAAAGAAAGTTTTGAATATTCCACACTTGTTATTTTCCATTCAACTAATAGCTTATTAAATCATATATATATTCCATTCAGAAGAGGTTGACTTATAAGAAATTCCCTATTCTCAGATTGCACTATGCTTCAATAAATTTAAAGATTTAAAGCTATGTTAATAAGAAAAGCATAAAAGAAAAATAACATAACTTGCTTTAATACAAAGGTTTTTTTAATAAAAAAAGTCAAAGTCTACATTAAATCAGGAAATCAATAAATCTGAATTATACAAGCTTTCTATATACTTAGAAAAACCAAGAACACACAGTTTATAACAAAACTCTTTAATTCAAAATAGAGTCTAATTTAAAGAAAATGTCATTATGCTCAGTTGATTAGATAGGGTTTTGTCATTTAAATTAAATGGTTCACCTGAAATATGGGAAGTATATAATAGAGAAAATTCAATCTCAAGGGTACTTCGCAAATCATCTAGCTAATTTGCATCATGAGTCAAATTCTTAGCTTCCAAAGGGCAGATACAGTCTTCAATTGCTTCTAGATAGGCACTTAAGAAATGCTTTTGATGAGGAGGAAACCCCAAAGATTATGAATCACTCTATTAACTCCAGGGAAAAATGAGACTCCAAACAAAGTAAATTTTCCCTAACTGCCCTTCCACTGCCAAGAAACCATAACTATTCCCAAGTTCTTCCTATTATTAAGAATGAAGGAGATGGAAACTAAAATGCTCTATTCTTATTCAATTAAAAGGTAAACTCAGCTCCTTTATATCAATCTCTCTCTCCAACTTGAATTAATGAATTTTTTTATACTAGAAGAGTTACCATATTAGAGCCAGAGAACATTGCAATTTTCCCATATCTTACCCATTCACTATCACACTAGCAAAACATCCTTTTTTAAAATGGGGGGGGTGTTTGAGAAAAATCTCATAAAACTAAACATAAGTTAAAGATTTTTTACAATTAGAGGCAGTTATAATTAGAAAAACCAGAGTTAGTCAAATTGAGATAACCCCAGGATTTTAATAGTTCTCTCTCCTAGATGAGAGATGATCCAAATAAGAAAAATGGAGGTGAACTATTAGATGAACACATAACAAGTATCAAACAAATACTAGGAAAGAGTGGGGTGAGGGAAAGGGAAAGGAAGGAAAGGAAGGGAAGGGAAGGAGTGGGGAGGAAGGGAAGGGGAGAACAGGGCAGGAAAAAAAACTAGAATGACCTTATTAAAACACTGTGGAGTTCCCCAGCAAGCAGCAACATTTATAAAGTCTTTTGTAGATTTGCATAATGATCCTATGCAATTCTTCCCCACTAAGAAGAACATCCGTACAAATAAATTATCATTTTAGATTCTGATCACAGATCATTTGTAATAGTGATAACTGTTGTATCTAAAAAAATTCCACCAGTTAACAGTTAAGACAAACATTAGGCCATTCTTTGATAAAGTATTACTTCTCCACTACTACTGATGAAACCAAAACCTCAGAGAGTCATTTTAAAATTAAAATGTTGAGCTAGAAAAGACTATTCCATTCTTAGGGAAATACCCAAAGAATTTGCTGCTGACATCATCACGCCTATTCTCTAATCACAACCCACCGGCCTTCATTTACTTCCTTAATTCCATTTACATTAGCCACAGTGATGTAGCTAAACATGAACAATATTGCCCTTGAATGAGCTGGCCTCTATCAAAGATCTGAAGACAGCATTCCCACAGGACAGTAAAATTCTCCTCAGTTGTGAACATCCACTCTGTTCAGGATCTTTGGTACATTTGGAGTATAAGAAAATAATGGCACAATAATACAAGTACTATCAAAGGAAAAATTTTCATCAAAAGAAAGAAAAGTTAACCAGCCATGATATGTAACAACTTTCTAGAAAACCAAAGTAAATAGCTCTTTGTTCTCTACAAGTCCATTTACATGATCAGAAGTCTGACGTTTAAAAAAATAGTTTAATAAAAATACACTAGTTCTCTACAAGCAGCCCTCATGGTCATTTCTTAAATTCAACTCACCATAATCAAATTAAAATAATGCCATGTCCTCTTGTTAAAAAAGAAGTCCTCTTGTCACAAGAAAAGCAACTTTACATTTTATATAATACAGTACATCTCCCTATGAGTATACAGACTACATATATAAAGGTCATCAGTATTTCTGAATGCAAAGTAAATATATTAGTGGAGTGCTTGAGTGAAGGTGTTAAAACTTCCTCCTTATTATAAACTTGTCACTCCCTACTGTGGAGTTTGTGCAATAACATGATGATAAATTCTATTTTTTAAATAACCAGTGTATTTCCTTTTTAAAATGTCTTAAAACCATTAGGGAATTTGTCTTCATATATATTCTATACATGTCCAAACCAATAGGGCAAGTGTTCTAATGGCTTTTATTGATTATCTAGACCCATAAGGTTTGCAGTAAAACAGCAATACTGCAGTGTTACCTACAGGTGAGCCTATGTTGCTTTAAATGACATATGTTGCTCCTGAATTGATTAGAGGTGTTACAGTACAAAGCCACAGCACACACAGGCAGAATGGACCTTAATACGCATGTAGGCAGTGCAGTTAGAAAGGGATGTACATTTCTTTTATTCCAGTACCTTCATATAATAAAGTTAACAAAAATAATAAAATATTAAAAAAAAAAAAGCCAGCTGGCACTGCCAACCAATTCCTGTAGTAGTCTTAGAAATCCTAATCCTGTAGAATTTCCTCTTGTAGTCAGAAGCACCACCATCTTCGGGAGTATTTCAGTGTACTGTTATCTACGCCAAGCAAGCCTGGTGATGCAGCTACCTGAGTTCTCTGGGTTGTGAGCGAATGTGATCTTCATTCATAATTTCCCAGCTTTCATGTAGGTGGGGATAGAGCCACGCTGAGTCAACCCTTCAAACCTTTTATAGGTATAATTGAGAAAAACCCAGTCTTTGGATTTGTAGTCCGGTTCTGTGGTGTTTGGCACTAGGAAGATAGAAAAGTTAACGAAGAGCAAAGGAATTGCATTAATGAAAACGTCATCATCTTCAGAGACTTTTAATAGTGTTAATTGTGTTGTAGATTGTCCTACCTGGTTGTAAAATATCGGATTCAGGAAAGTCATCAAAATTTGATGTATCATCAATGCTTTTGATTTCTATAGGGATCGCTGCTGGCCTTTCCCTATAAAAAGGTATTGAGTAACCATGGTAAGTTTTCTTGAACTCAGTTTTCCAAAACATAATCCTGCCTGCAAATTCTGCATGCTGTTCTATAGATATTAGAAGAACCAAGGAAATTTATTATGGATTTGAAAATATCTGTAGTTAAGTGGATTTCATATATGAGTATAATTTTTTTATTAAAATATTATCATTTACTTGGAATTTTTATTTCTTTGTACCAAGACTTTCTCATGCTGTCTTTTTAAAGAGGAAAAATAAGAGTTAATGAAAGGGAAAGCAGAAAAGATTTTATTTAAAGAACTTTATCATTATATAAAGTACCCTAGATATTGTGGGGACTGGATCCTACCTAATTAATTCAGGAATAGAATTCTTCTAGTAGAGGATCCGTAAATCAAGTCATTTAGGAAAATAAGGGGCTCAAAGAGTGAAGGGACTACACATTTGTGATGAAATCTGAATCCAAACACTTCTCAGTCATATAAATGTTAAGGGAATCAGGGACATTAGGTTAAAAAAAATACTAAGTCATGAAAATGCCTTCTTATCATGCTAAAAATAGTTAAAAGAATTTATCAATTTTTATTGCTTCTATTTTTTTACAAGTACTTATTGGATCTATTAGGTGATAAGTTTACAGAATTATGTAAGAGCATGTATATATTTTCCCCAGAATTATTCTAACCTATTTATACTTAATGTACTAACTTAATAAATTTACATTAGTTTAGTGTAAAGAAGCATAGACCCTGGTGCCGTGAGATCTAATCTCTTGTCATTACTTAGCAGGATGACCTTAGGTACTGTGACTGTTCCCTAATATAAAACCAGGAGACCGGACTGGTAAGTCTCTAAGCATCCTTCCAACTGTAACAGGGGGGAATCATAGTTCTGCTCAATGAGGTGTTGTATAGACAGTATAATACAGTGTAGCAAGTAAGAGTCAGGACTCTAGAATCAAACTGCCTGGGTCTAGTTCTAGTTAGCAGTTCTAGCTAGATCATTCACTAGCTGAGGCACTGCAGGCAAATTACTTCTCTGTGACAGGTTTATTATGAGGATAAGATGAGAAACGCATCTAAAGCACTTAGAACAGTGCTGGACATACAATAAATGATCCCCCCAAATTGGCTATAATCAGGTAGAGTGCCTAGCATATCATAGAAGCTCCAGTGAAGATCTCCAGTGAAGGGACACATAGACTGTCTTGAAGGTGAAAAGGGGCTGGCTAGGCAGGGCAAGGGCAGGGAGGGGCAGGGAGGTGAAGAGCATTTTCGTCAGAGTGAAGAGCAAATGACAAAACCCTGGGGGTGGGAGAAGTGGGAAAGACCATACAAGATGCAGTTTGTACAGATGAAGCAAGAGCCACATCCTACGATCCTGAAAAGCAGTTAAGGATCCTTAGTTTTATTCTAAGTGCAAAGAGAAGGAAGAAAACGGCACGATCAGACTTGTTTCTAAACTGTTGCTGTCCGAGGAATAGACCAGAGCCACTGAAGGTGGTTTGGCCACAGACTGAATAAAGGCCAATGCTCACAATGAACAACCGTAAGCAAATTCTTAAAAGTTACTTGCATTATTTAACTTTCCCCACAATGTTCAAAAGAGGGACTGTATATTCTTACAAATTAATGAAGGAGACACAGTATGGTATATTAATTAGAGGACAAAAATGATGGGTTATAGAGTCAAATGTAATTATATCTTTGTTGTGCGAACAGTCTCCGTCACGTAACTCTGAATATCAAAATCTAAACAGGGGCACAATATGTGCTTTTTCCTTAAAGTGGACATTAGATAAAATGAGTCATTTAGCTATAGCCACTATAGTCTCACTCATTTAGATAATCCAGAGAACACTGATTTATCACATTATCACAGTGCTACTTCTTGTATTTAATCTAGCAGAATCAAAGAAAAATTAATCACCAAATCTAGTAGAAAAGTTTTTACTCAGACCTCTCCCACTCAAAGCCTATAAACATACCTGATGTGCCCCCAATCTACACCTTCAAAAAAAGGATGACTTTTTATTTCTTCTACTCCACTATTCCCAATTCTATTTTCAGAATCAATACAAAACCTGGAAAACGGAGACAGAGAAATTATCATATGCAGATTACATCTAAAGTAGTCTATTTGCATGATTTCAAACATTTCATCTTTTTTTCTGTTTACTGAAGTTAACTCTATTGTGGGAGATGTGGGAAAAAAATAGAAATCATCTATAATTGCACTACTCAGACATAACTACTATAAACACTGAAGCCATTTCCTTCTAGTCTTTTAATATAATTTAAAAAATATTGTGTTAATAAGTAGTTACCATTTTAGGACTGTTTTTTCACTTAGAACATTTCTCAAAGTCATTAAATATTTTTCTATAACTTCATTTTCTAAAATTTACACATGGAAACACTACAATTTATTTAGCCAGTTCACTATTGTTGAACATTTAGAAGGTTTTCAATTTTTCATTACTAAAAACAATATCAAGATAACATACTGTACCTAAATCTTTACACACATCTCATTATCTGCATATGCGAAATTCCTAGAAGTAGCATTGCTGGGTCAAAGGTCATAGACAGTTGAAGATTTTGTATAATATGCTGCCAACTGGCTGTTCCCATGGGTTGCCCAATTTATATTCCTTCCAGCCATTTACAACAGAGCCTAAACACTTCATCTTAGTTGAGAAACAGAATGGAATCTTGTGCTTAGAAAAGGTTTCATATAGAGACTTTTGTGATATAAACTGCTACTAAGAATTTATTTTCCCTTTCTCTTTAGGGAATAGGGATAAGGTCATTGTATTTTTTTTTTTTTTTGTTATTTTTGCGGTACGCGGGCCTCTCACTGTTGTGGCCTCTCCCGTTGCGGAGCACAGGCTCCGGACGCTCAGGTTCAGCGGCCATGGCTCACGGGCCCAGCCGCTCCGTGGCATGTGGGATCTTCCCACACCGGGGCACGAACCCGTGTCCCCTGCATCGGCAGGCGGACTCTCAACCACTGCGCCACCAGGGAAGCCCAGGTCATTGTATTTTAACAGGAGTGACCTTTGAAATAATACAAGGCCTCTTCCCTCTTCTTAACTCTGACTTTTTTTCCTGCATAATTCCTTTTAAGAGTCTTCATTTTTAAAAAACACCTTTTCTTTACTGATGCCTTTGACTGTATAGATCAGTGATAGTCTTTTTCCTCCCACAAAGCTGAAACAGGCAATTTAGTCTTTTAGGTCCCTGTGAAGTTTTAAGATACCACAAACTCTTCTAGGGATTTAACTACTAACCTAAGAATTAAGTCCTTGGCTTTTTCAGATATAGGCACCTCTGGAGGAAATACCAGAGTTTCTTTCCAGTTCATCACCTTCCTATATGTTTCTTGAGGTGTTTCAGAGCAGAAAGGTGGATATCCTACGTATCAGAGAAAACAAGTTTCATGAGCTTTTGTGATCAAATATGCTACACCTATTATATGCGTGTCACAGAAAACAAAATAGCCCTGGGTGCTCTGCTTAACGATAAAAAATACCACCATTCAGCCATTTATAATAAAATTGCTAATAAAGTCAATAAAATAAAGGATTTAAAGCATTGCCCCTCTTTTACCTAAAAGGCCATGCAGACACAATTTTGATACACGGGCGTTCCAGTTAAATGCCCCCTTCCTGACAGAAGATCCCTGGAGAGCTCACTGATATTTATCAGTGTGTATTTAAAATTGGCGGATGTCAGAAATCAGTTTAAAGAGTTCAGATGTTTCAGCCCATAATATCTACAATATGTTCATCAGTGGCACTCAAGGAAATTTATATGGTATGTACATAAATGAATGATAAAACATACCTATTAGCATTTCATACATAATTACTCCCAAAGACCACCAGTCACACAATTTGTTGTACCCAGTCTGCATGAACACTTCTGGAGCAATGTAATCTGGTGTCCCCACTGTGGAATATGCCTGCAAAGGAACAGCTTGTCAAATCAGTGTTCTCAATATATATTTTTTTAAAGATCCAAGTATGGCTCACTACTGGAAAAACCAATATATACAGAAGTTAATTTTTCATTTAATACTTGTTTTGCGTGTTTATCATGTATAAGGCTTGGTGATAGGCACTGAGTCAGATAATTTGTTATTTAAGACATGACTTCTGTCCCCCAAAGAGCTCAACAACGTTATTTATGTATTTAGCCCTAAATCCATTCCAAAAAGAATAAAAAGCTTGTGCCCAGTAAGCCTGGCTTCCCCACTCACTAGTAATGTGCTCTCAGGCAAGTTATTCAACCTTTCTGAGCCTCAGCTTCTGCTCACATAAAATTGGAGTAATAATACCTGCCCTAACAGAGTGGATACGAGGATGAAACAAGCAAAGGAATGTGTTTGTAAATTACAGCCTACTATAAAAACGTCACGTATGTTCATTATAAACTCATTTCCAGGGCACTGCTTATCCATTAGAAAGCAATGCAGTTTATGATTGGCATAGAGTGGGCAGGGGATACAGGTTCTAAAAGAATTTCCTGCCCCAAATACCAAGAGTCCCCTCTGTTTCTTCACTGGGAAACACTGATGTAAGTCATGATGGTCACAAGAATAATAAAACCTACACATGAGTAATCAGTGTGAATATTCTGTAATCAGGGGGTACAGAATTCCCACCATAGCCTTAGGCAGTATTCATTTTTCCCTTTAAAAGTAGGAAATACTACAATTCTTTTCTCAATTGTAAAATCTGATCTAAAAGTGACACATTTAAAAGTAGAAGGAAGATTCTGTCATTAATGCATAGCTCAAAACATTTTTAAAAACTTATAAAAACACCAAAATGTTTTACAAGCACAAAAAGTTTACTTGGGCTAATGAGAGAGTGAGGTCATTTTATTTGCTTTGAGAGGGTATCAGACTCTTGCCTTTCAGTCTATTTACCTTCCTGAGGGACTGCTGAATGAGTTTCTCTTCATCACTTGGTTGAATTAAACAAATATTTACAGAGTGTCGATATGTACCAGGCCGTTGTACAAGAAGTTAGGAAATTAAAGTCAAAAGGCACATTCCTAACCTTGACAATGTTCATGGACCTAGTTAAGAGGATAAAGGGAAAGAGGAAAAGGGGCAAATGATTCTAATACTTGCTGAGTAATGGAGGAGGAATCCTGTGGGGTTAAAAATAGACAGTGTCGTTCCACATTAAAGCAGTCACTAAGTTTATCTGCAGTAAAGTCTGCTTTCCAATTTTATTTTATCTATTTTATTGTAACACTGTTAACATGCCAAACTTTCTGTTTACTTTCTCTATGAAGTTCTTAGAAGCACACAATAACCTTACTTATGCTGACTGACATCTGTTGCATCAGGACAGGTAGGGAAAATGGAAACATGAAAATCATACGGCATTTACTACAATTTACACTCATCTCGGTGAGTTTTATAGAGAATGCCAGTACTCGTAAACAGACAGATTAACTAATTATAGATATGCTTGGTAAAATATTCTGAAGTGAAATCATAAAGTAAAAATCAGCATTTTCCTTTACAGGCAGGGAAATGTTACAGAGAAACTAAGAAAACTCTATGATCCCGGAACAAGCTCTATCATTGCTATGAAGTAAGAACTAATCATTGTGAAGCTCCAAATTACCAAGCAAATACCAAGTGAGATTTTAGGACCAGGGCACAAACTTCTGCCTTCAACTCACCAGTTGTCTCCTGTTCTTCTTCCATGTTTCTGCTTTCCTCTTTGAGTTCATGTTCTGGAATGCTAATTTCAACAAGACAGAATTGTAATTACGAGGGAAAAACTCTTACCAGAAAACAAATTCACACATATCCATTGAAAATACGTTGGTTTAAGGGGTGAGGAGAAGGAGAGAAGCTTCAGTTCTCAACAGTCCTGCATTAAACCAGCTGTACTACTTTAACCCCCCAAAATCAAACTTACAGAAGTCACTTGGTGGGTTGTGTGTAAGATTTCTGTAGAATTCAGTCCTATGAGCCTTCTTTAATCCCGTGCACAAACCAAAATCAGATAATTTTACGTGACCCTAAGGAAAAAAAGAAGAAAGACAAAACCTAGTAAAATCAATAGGTTTTATTAACTTAGAGACAAAAGCCTCATTAAAAACTCTTCTAAATGGGCTTCCCTGGTGGCGCAGTGGTTGAGAGTCCACCTGCCGATGCAGGGGGCACGGGTTCGTGCCCCGGTCCGGGAAGATCCCACATGCCACGGAGGGGCTGGGCCCGTGAGCCATGGTCGCTGAGCCTGCGCGTCCGGAGCCTGTGCTCCGCAACAGGAGAGGCCACAACAGTGAGAGGCCCGCGTACCGCAAAAAAAAAAAACCCAAAAAACCCCACAAACTCTTCTAAATGCAATCATAAAAATTCTTAGCTTAGAATTCATACAGGTGAAACGTAAAATTATCAATATTTGATGATGATTATTTTAAGGAGTGGAAAATGGAAGATGATCAAAAGACAGCCAGTTTCCCCTTGATGTCATTTCACTTCACAGCTCTCTCCTACCATATCAGTCTATGAAATAATGTAGGTTAGCAATAATATAAATTGCAGTTGCCCATTTCCAATCACAAAATCACCTCTATTACTTCATAAAATAACCAGCAACCTAATAATTCACTTTATTCACATGCCTTGGCATCCAATAAGAGGTTGTCTGGTTTAATGTCCCGATGGATGAAACCCAACTGGTGGATCGCATCTATTGCCAGAACAGTCTCTGAAATGTAGAACTGTGTTTCCTCTTCCGTCAAAGTATCTTTCTTCATTAGCAATGTCATCATGTCACCTAATTAAATGAGAATAAGTACCATGTGTTAGAAATGCCTCAAAAAGGGGAATGCCTTATAAAAGATTTCTTTGTAATATACAGCATATGCCTAATTTTTGCACTTTATGATCTACCCAGTGTACCTCCTACCATCTCTAGGGCCCAATAAAAAAAGTGTCACTGCATAAGGAAAAGTTTCATGACATTTAATGGTTTTAAGGTAGAAAGTATGTGAAATCAAATCAGAGCAGAGGTGATAAAGAAGTAATATCTACCACTCAACATCCAGAATAAGTGGCTGAGGAAAATATGTCAAAATGTGAGAATGAATCAGTGTAAGCACACCTGGAAGTGGGATATATTCTTTCAAATTCAGGTTTCAAAAACACTCAGTACTCTCTGGGCCAACAAAAATAGGTCATCATCCCACCAAGAGGGTCACTTCTAGACATTTTTTTGTTTTCAAGAAATCTTGCTCTTTTACAAGGGGCAAAGAATAAACACTGGTGAATTTACAACTCAGAATTGACAATTGTTGATATTTTTTCATGATGCTTCAAGTCTTAAAAAAAAAAAATACCATGCAGGCTCTTTGTCCTCCATTCCCATTCTAGTCCCCTTTCCCTTTTTGCTGAGTAGCCATTATCATGGATTTGGTTTGGTGTGCATTCTTCCAGCTTATTTTTGAAGTATGTTTTCATATACATATATATTAATCTATGAATTTACCGTCTTTTGTATGTTTTTAAAAATTACATAAGTAATATCAACTGTACATAATTCCACAGCTTGCCTTATTATTCTACTTTGTTTCTGAGATCCTACTGTTGAAATAGAGCTCCTGACTTTTCACTACTGTAAAACATTTCATCACACAATTATGCCACATTTTATTTATCGATTCTTCTACTGATGGACATTAACCTTGTGTCTAGTTTTTCACTATTATGACACTGCTGCAATGAGCATCCTTTTACAGGCCTCTTGCGCACGTGCATTTTCAACTTTACTGGTATCTCTGAACTGCTCTCTGTAAGGGTCAGAGATTCCTTCGCACAGGTGAGAGGCCCATTTCCCACAGCCCCATCAGACTTTCAGTGTTTTTACTAATCAGATGAGTGTGAAATGGAATCTCATTCTTGTTTTAATTTGCATTTCCCTGAATATGGGTGAAGTTGAACATTTTCCTATCTATTTGTGGACTAACCAGAGTTTTCTTGTGTACACTGCCTACCATTTGCCCACTGGGTTGTTTGTCTTCTTCTTTAGTGACTTGTTCTTAACTCCAGACTTGTAAAGATCTAAATAATTATATACAGTAAACACAGAATGATAATATTCAAAATGTGCCAACTTTATCATTTCTTCAAAATAATCTGATTTGTGGTCCAAATTAGCATTATTGTGGGAGGAGCTATTAGAAAATCATGACTGACTGTGTAAAACCTCAGAGCTAGGGATAAAAAAGTAAATCTAATAAAAAAATTGTAATTACATATAACAATGTGCTTGTGTCAGTCTGTCATTGCTATTGTTTGCTTTTACCTCCAGGGAGAAATTCCATGATTAGATAAAGGTTCCTCTTATCTTGAAAACTGTAAAACATCTTCACCACCCAGGCACCATCTGCTTCTACTAAAATATCTCTTTCTGCTCGGATATGGGCCACCTGGAAGAATGTATTTTGAAAAAATAATTGTAACACATTACATATTTTCCAAGCTTACTTCTTAACAATTATCATATTCTCAGTAAATTTGGAGAAGCTCAGGAAATAGTTTATTTTAGCTGATATCTTTAGGCCTGAAAACGTGGGATCACAAGGGGAAGCTGAGGCCTTTGAAGTAGAAAAATGATTAGTCTAAAATTTTTCTAACCAGAATCTCCACCTAGCCAAGGATCTTGGCTTTGTCATGTAAATTTAGGGTCTGACTTAGAAGTTAAAAGTAGTAAGCAATGCCCTATAGATGGATATGACAAAGTGTGGGTCCTTAGCAAACTATTTTTAACTCTTACTAGTCCAAAAAAGGGACTGACTTGGTCTTTAACCATTAGGTTGTTTTTTTAAGAAGGAGAAACATTTATAATAATTTTATATCATTTTGTTATAATGGACTTTTATAATATTTATAAACATCTACAGCAAATTATTATATAACTTTTTGGGATTTTGCTACTTACTTTTGTCAGACACATAATTACTAGAGCTACTATTATATGAACAATAGACTGAAAAATTTTATAAATGAGTGATTTGTGGGGTTGGTATAATCAACTTTCAGATGCTTTTCCACTGATATAGTTATACATTCTTTCTTCAAAGATTAATTAACGATAGGATTTGATCTTATGCGTTTGCTATTTTCATTGTGCATCATTATGAACTCTGACCTAAAGCACACAAGAACACAGATTTTGTAAACCTTTTCATGACAACAAAACATGATCTGCTTAAATTATCTGGGATTATTGTATTATGATCTGATACAGTAAATGCTCTGAGATCAAAATCAAAGCACAAGAATAAACGTTAAAAACTAAAAACGTGGGCTTCCCTGGTGGCGCAGTGGTTGAGAGTCCGCCTGCCAATGCAGGGGACACGGGTTCGTGCCCCGGTCCGGGAAGATCCCACATGCCGTGGAGCGGCTGGGCCCGTGAGCCATGGCCGCTGAGCCTGCGCGTCCGGAGCCAGTGCTCCGCAACGGGAGAGGCCACAGCAGTGAGAGGCCCACGTAACGCAAAAAAAAAAAAAAAAAATCTAAAAACTTGTTTTCTGGCATCAAAAACCTTAAAATCTCTCTGGACCTGTTTCATAAAGTGAAAAATGATACCAAAATTCTTACCTATTGCCCTTTACAAAGCATTTTAAGACGGTAAAGGAAAAACAAACTTTTGGTGTTGCCTCTGTGGTTGTCAGGATAAACTTGGCTTGATTATTTTTAAGTATCTTAAAGCCAGATTACAGGATATGTTTTCAAAAATGAGCCTATGTTTCTAAAGTATAGGAAGTATCATGCACAGTAATCCAGTACCACAATAGTGGGGAGAAAAGTTGCTACTTAATTTTGCAGAGTGGTTAGCATTCAAGTAAATGTGATAAAAACTTAAAATAATGACATATTAGAATTGAGTGGGGAAAAGGTTTTCTAAAATGAAATTCAATGGTGACAAAAGCAGATTAATTTATATAGGGGAAAAAACAACCCCAAAGTGCAAAACAGACTTGATGTTGGACTCCAGCGAGATTCTCCTGCAAAATATTCTAGACCAGGGCTGTCCAACAGAAATAAATGTAAGCCACGTACATCATTTTAAGTTTTCTAGTAGCCACACAAAAAGAAATGGGTGAAATTATTTTTAACAATATAGTTTCTGTAACACCCATATATCTAAAATGTTGTAATTTCAGTATATAATCAATATAAAAATTGAGATATTTTACACTCCTTTTTTTTTTTTTGCACCAAATCTTCAAAATTTGCTGAGCATTTTCCATTCACAGCACATCTCAATTCAGACTAGCTACACTGAAGTGCCCAGTAGCCACGCGTGGCCAGTAACTAAAGACAGCTGGGACTAACTGCTGCCTTTTGTTCTTCCTCTAAAACCCGGCCCAGGACTAATCCCATATGGCTTAGTTAGAAGATTCCTGTTTATGTCCTCATCTCTGAGGACCAACATCTTGACACAGACACTTATTCCCATCATTGTCTGCAATTCTCTAACACAGCTCAGTATCTCGACCTTCCTTGTCTTCCGAACCGCTTCCCCCTGGAATCAGCCTGTGTTCAACAGAACCCCTGTCACCTCATCTCTGTTCCTGTCACCTTCTCATCCTAACTGAAATCAGGCTGTCCACGGAGAGTCCCGTCTTCCTGCAGAGTGAGTTGTCAGGAATGACCTGCTTTCTCTCTCGTGTTTCTTGGTTTCCTGCTCATCCTAGCTGCTTCTGAACCACTGTGACACTTTCCTCATGCCCAGCTCCTCTGCGGGCATGCTGTCAGGCGCCGTGGCTGTCTTCCTTCCTCCTGGTCAACCCCCTCAGTCATTCATGACTTCAGCTCATGGCTCACCAGCTTCCTTTCCATCCTTTCTAGTCATGGGTGAATTTCAAGATCCATAAGGACGAACCACCAAATACCCCATCTGCACAGCTCCTGCATTCTCCCTCACCTCCAGTGATCTTTTCCTCCGCTGCGCCTCAGCCACCCATGGTAATCTTCTTGTCCTTTTCATAACCAATAACTGCCCTCCCTCTAAAATCTCCACTTTAAGGAACTCTGTTTCTGATCCCCACCTTTTATCCTCCCAGGTGTCTTATTCTTGTACTTCAATCTCCATTCCATGGACCCTACACCACTTTTTCTCTGTTACTCTCCTCAGAACCTCATTTCTTTCTCTACCCGGCCTTGGTTCCATTACTCTTTTGCAAACAGCTTCAACTCCCTTGTCCTCCTCTCCCTCTGTTGTATTTGCCTGGCAAAATACCAACCCTAGTTAGGCCCAAATTTTTGCCTATTCTGTACCTGCCCCAGAGCAACTAAGTATTACCAGAGAAAAGTCACCCAACGATACCAAGTTTCACTTTACGTTCATGGTTGAAAATCTCAAGGGACATTCAACTGCAAGTCTGCTTTCCCACACTCCAAGTCAATAGCTGTGACTGTTTCACAACTTCTCTCCGCTTACACCTCCAGCAAGCTACCTACCCCTCCTTTCCTCCTGCTGATGACCTCCCTTATTTGCACTCAGGAGGAACCTGGCACTTTACACGCCAGATCAACCACCCTGCGTTTGTTCCTACTTTCTCTGCTTTTCCTCCCTGTCGTAATGTCCCAGCTCCTATCAAAGATCTACTTCTCTGTCATCCTGTGTACTCCCGTAATTATCTGCCTTCTCTCTCCTGCATCTTCAATTTTTCTCTCCCTAATGGATTCTTCCAATCAGCAGTGCCTTAACAACAACAAAAAAAACCCCAACATTCTTTACCAAACTGTTCTTTGTTCTGCTCTACGTGAAAGACTTATCTACACTCGCGTTCTCCACTTCTTGCTTCCCATTTTCTTTCCCACTATTCCACTTAGGCACTCCAATCCACTGGAGCTGTCCTTCCCAAGTTATTCAGAATCTCCAACAGTGACACCCAGTGGCCTGTCTTCCTCTTGCCCCCTCTCTTAGCAGCCTTCAACCTATTTGACCATTCACCTTCTCCTTTGAACGCCTTCTTCTGCTGGCTCCCGTAACACCATGTTCTCCTAGGGTCTCCCTTAACTGAGCAGATGTCCCCTCTTAGTCTCCTTTCCTGGATTCTCCTCTGCCTAGTGTTCCCTAAGGGCTTGGATCCAGGCCCTCTTGTCTTCGCTATATTTGTTCCCTAGGCAATGTCATCTGTCCCATTACTTTAAATACTATCAATCTATTGATTGCTTCTAAATTATATTTCTTTTTTAAAAATTTATTCATCTATTTATTTTTGGCTGCGTTGGGTCTTCGTTGCTGTGCGCAGGCTTCCTCTAGTTGCGGTGAGCAGGGGCTACTCTTCATTGCAGTGCGCGGGCTTCTCACTGAGGCGGCTTCTCTTGTTGCGGAGCACGGACTCTAGGCTCACGGGCTTCAGTAGTTGTGGCTCGTGGGCTCTAGAGCGCAGGCTCAGTAGTTGTGGCGCTTGGGCTTAGCTGCTTCGTGGCATGTGGCATCTTCCTGGACCAGGGCTCGAACCCATGTCCCCTGCATTGGCAGGCGGATTCTTAACCACTGTGCCACTGGGGAAGTCCCTAAATTATATTTCTAGTCAAACTTCTCCCCATATTCTAGCCAACTGTCAACATAATTATCTCTACTTGGATATCCAACAGGGAGCTCAAACTTAATATGCCACAAAGAGAACACTTGATTCCCAGTGTCACCAAACCTGTTCCTTCCTCAGTCTTTCCTACATTAGAAACTGACACCATCAGGCATCCCATTCCCAAGTAAAACTCTAGGTATTATCCTTGATTCCTCCCTCCCTTTTCACTACCCTTACTTCTCCTCTCACCCCCCCAACATAGAGTATGTCACAGAAAATCCTGCTGGCTCTTCCATGGAAACATATACTTAATCTATTTGACTTTTTTCCTCTTTGCTGTTGTATAAGCCACAGTCACATCCTGGCTGGAATCGCTACACAGTCTCTCAAGGGTTCTCCCTGCTTCAACTCTTGTTTGTCCTTCCAGCAAGCAAGGGGACTGATTCATCTTCGTAAAATATCCATCAGACATGACGCTTCTCTGTTTAAGCAGAACATGTCTTCCCACTGCATTTGGAGTAAGACCCACATGGCCTGCAAAGCTCTGTGTGATCTGGTCCCTGCCTCCCTCTTCCCCTTCATCTCCAACCACTCTTCCCCTCACTGAATTCAGCCACAGTGGCTTCTTGCCGTCTCTGCAGGCCAAGATTATTCTTGCCACAAGGCCTCTGCATTTGCACCCTGGATCTTTGTTCTACCAGATCCTTAGATCTCATACTTTCTAATTATTCAGTCTTTCATCAATATTCCCTTCTCAGAGAACCTTCCCTCATCTCATTCTTCCTCCTAGAGCCAGGTCATCTGCATCACTTTATCCTTTTGTAAAATCCGTCTTCATACTACTTCCTCATCAGAAATGACTATTTCCAATAGCTGTCCCCACGGCTGTCAGCGAACAAGAATCAGGTCTCTCCTGTTAATCACTGTACTCCCAGAACGGAGAATAGTATTTGACACATCATAGGCACGTAATAAATTCTTGAATAAATGGAACAGAAATAAAGTGAAACAGTGCAGTGAAAATTAAAGTGGGCCATATTTAAATAAAAATCAACATCATACTGCTATAATAACAAAGTAAGCTGTAGGTGGGACTAAAGACTGAAATCAAGCATTAGGTACAGAGAGGTGCCATCTCTTTCTGTACCCTTGTTGAGTCCTTCACTAGCACATATATTCACTTAGAGTTCTACCCAGACTGGAGATACAGGTGAATGCATGAAATAATACTATTGATGTTTTCAGATTTATGGCCACCCCATAAACTGCATCAAGTCACAGGAAACATGGAGAGAGCCCAGGAGTACAAAATTGGAGTGGTTACAGATTTTGGAAATATGTAAAATCAGCAAATTCTCAAGAAACTGGTTTGCTTATTTGATAGGTGACAGGGACTGAGAGAGCTGAGAACTGTCCTTTATTTTCACTGAATTCAGAGAAGAAGGTATTCTGTTACAGACTGAATGTTTTGTCCCTCCTGAAAATTCCTACGGTGATGTGCTAACTCCCAGTGTGACTGGGTTTGGAGACGGGCCTCTAAGAAGGTACTGAAGGTTAGTGAGGTCGTAAGGGGCAGGGCTAGTGTTCTTGTATGAAGAGACCCCAGAGAGTCACTCTCCTCTCTGTGCACACACCAAGGAGAGGCTATGTAGGGACCTGGTGAGAAGGCGGCCGTCTGCAAGCCAGGAAGAGTGCTCTTACCAGCAACCAAACCCTGCTTGCTCTTGGACTTCCAGCCTCCAGAACTGTGAGAAAAGAAACTTCTGCTGTTTAAGCCATCCAGTCTGTGGTATTTTGTTAGACATGTAAATCAGATTATGAATTTGGAAGAAATCTGAACTATAAGAATTGAGAAACAACGAAGCAGGCTACCAAAAGTCTACAGATTATATAGTAAGATGTGTAGGTTTCTTTCTAAAAGTCCCAGTTTTAGCACTTGCTCTAACACCTAGTCAGTGGACACCCCTTTGGCTACGTGTGTTAAAGAGCTCATACCTGCTCTTTTTCAAGCATATCAGCTTTTCTCAATATCTTCATTGCATAGATATGGCCTGTATCTTTCTTCTGGACCAGCCGAACCTAGAATGTAAAAATTCATATCACAAATGGCATCAAACAATCACTACTATTTGTTTCGGAGTGAAAGGTAGGCTCCTTTAAAGAAAGCAGTGTTGTAGTTTGCTGTTGCTGGTATTTTAGAAATTCTATTAAAATTAAGCTATTTTAATACACATTTTAATATATTATACTACTTTAATACATATTAAGCTATTTTAATACATATTCTGAACTATCTTAAGATGCACATGTTCAACAGCAGTGACTTAAAAAAGAAGCACACCTCTCCGAATGCTCCTCTTCCTATAACTTTCAGAGACTCAAAGTCATCTAAGCCAAGTCTGGTCCGCTTGAGCCGTAAGAACTCTGTTTCCTTGCGAGCATGTTGTGATCGGCGTAACTTTTTCTATTAAAAAAGGACAGTTAATAAGGATGATTTTAAAATCGGACTATTTCAAAGGAAGCCTATAGTATTAAAAGATGAGATACATTATAATGAGGGTAATGTATCTAAATATTATATACTGGTGCTATAACTTATTTGCCAAAGTTGAATATTAAGCGTGGAAAAAATAAAATAATCTGAAGAAAACATTTTAAAATTGTTAACAATTGATAAATCTTTATTCTTGAGGCAGACTCCATTAAATATTTCATCTTAACTAGTTCACATATTCTTTCATTTTTATGCTAAATTAATTCAAAAACAAAAATTAAACTTTAGGAAATGCTAATAGTATTCTGATATTGATTTTTTACTGTCAGGAAATCTACTTTGCTTCAATTCCCTAATTTCCAAGGTTGCTCTGTCACAACTACTGAGACTTCTGACACCGAAATAACACAACAGCAGTATTTCCATACAGATTTATTTATGGTAGAATTTATTCTTGGGCAGATTTTTTAATAAAGTGCTTGAGACTTGTCACACAACTTCTTGAAAATATGAAATTGCAACAAAAAAATAGTTACACAAAGTATCCTTTAAAATATCCAAGTCAAGAATTTCATAATTCATTCTCCAAAGATTACAAAAAATACTATTAGTAAGAAACATTATGAAATACCTGAAGGTTACACTTGGAATGGGCATTTATTTAACTGTTCTAAACCTCATTTTTCCCCTCACCAAACAAAATTTTCTTTTTTTGACATAGAATTATGTCAAACTACCTCTCCTAGTAGAGGTCACATAGATGGGTAACGAACAAAATCAGGGAAAAAATTAAACCCCGGTTCATCTTCAACTGAACCCTAGCAAGCTTTCAGTGGTTCAGGTCTGAGGAGAAAATAAGTCAAAATGACTGAAACTGTTCAGAAACATTGCTCCTAAATGCAGTACAAGATATAACCACTGAGTAGTCCCTTCCTACCCCTGTGTACATCTGTTTCCAAAAGGGTAAGGTGAACTATTAATTAGAAATATGCAAGCATGGGCTTCCCTGGTGGCGCAGTGGTTAAGAATCCGCCTTACAATGCAGGAACACGGGTTCGAGCCCTGGTCCAGGAAGATCCCACATGCCGCGGAGCAGCTAAGCCCGTGCGCCACAACTACTGAGCCTAAGCTCTAGAGTCCGCTGAGGCACAACTACTGAGCCCACGTGCCACAACTACTGAAGCCCGCACGCCTAGAGCCCATGCTCCGCAATAAGAGAAGCCACTGCAATGAGAAGCCTGCGCACCGCAACAAAGAGTAGCTCTCGCTCGCCGCAACTAGAGAAAGCCCGCGCACAGCAACGAAGACCCAACGCAGCCAAAAATAAATTAATTTATTTTTTAAAAAAAGAAAGAAATATGCAAGTATGTATCATTAATGCAACAGAATTCTGATACCTCTAACAAAGTTAATCTAAGAGGATAAAATTAGGATATATGTCTTCAATCTAAATATCTAAACAGCTAAATAAAGTCACATCAATGGTGAAAACAGTGAAGACCACCTTTGTTTAAAAATGCCTTTTGAATAATAATGTTGAAAAATGAATTATTATTAAAACAAAAGGAGAGCTCAAAAGTAGCTTTTCAACTATATAGCTAATAAAAAAAGGCCACATGGTGGCACTATACCACCATCTTTCAAAACAGCGCAAGACCTTTTTAAAATTACATAAATGAACAAATATAAGAATTTTGAAAGGCATTCTGAATTTATGACTTTATGGATTATAAAACAGTGTGCAGTTGGATGTAGTTCAGAAACTTGTCTAATCTGAATGGAAAAGATGACCTCATCACACAGTTTCATAAATTATGCTCAAAATTGACAGACAAGAGAGACAGCCGAAGAAAATAATGCTTATTAGTATTTGATAGGTTGTGTAGTGCAGTAAGTAAATGATGTTTATGTAGTTTGGGGGACAGCTATTAAATGGCAAAAAGGGAGATCACAGTGTATGGAATATATAATCCTACAAAAAAGGGAAATCACCTACAACATTGTTATAGTACTTTAAAAAAAAAAATCTATCCATGATATTAGAGTCAGTGTTGTAGTCCAGAGAGAGCAAAAAAAATTACATTAAAAAAAAAAAAAAAAAAAAAATCGATGAAAAATCACTGATACATCTGCTCACAACCTGTGTAGATTAAGTCACCTTGAAAAACAAATAACATTTTTGAGGTAATCACATTCTTTCCTCTCCAAAGACAACAACAAAAATCTGTGGACAAACTTAACATCTCATGGCTCTCTTGCAGCTTAAACTTGCCCAGTTTGGTTTTCCATTAGAGTAAATAATATTCCATGTTCGATGGGATTTTAAGTGAGATGAAACTAGAAGTACGCCATTTTCTTTTTTTTCTCCATTCCTTTTCAAATTGGCGTTCTTCAAACTCTCAATCTGTAGGGTGCTCAGTTTTTGTAGAAGACAGTGTACACAGAAGTTTTAAGATAAGAAAGGGGTCAGCTAAGAACTTCATCTCAGTATAAATGCTTTTTAAGGCCACGTTATATATATGGTTGAGTTTTCACAAATTATTTCACAAATAACTTTCTATTACAGAATGGATTAAGGATGAATTTATTTTTATAAAACAATTTTACTTTGAAAAGACCCACCCCACATAAAGATAGTTCCAAAATACTGTACATTAGATTGAGAGACCATGTCTATTTTACAGAATGTGACAGCCTGGGACCCAGTATGGGGCCTAACAAGAAGCATTTGTGGAATTCAAATACCTTTACCAAAAATTTTAGATGTTTTATAAATGGTTATAATGGGCCAATGAGCATTTTTAGGGGTAAAATCACCTCACATTTTCTACAAGTTATTTAAGGAGAAACAAAGAAAACAGCTCTAGATGTACTTAGTACTTCCTGGTGTGAACCAGAGATTACAAGCCGGAAGCTACATGCTGTACTCAACTCACAGATGCATTTGATTTGGGCCCCCAAGTTGTTTTTTGTTTGTTTGTTTGTTTTTTGTGGTACGCGGGCCTCTCACTGTTGTGGCCTCTCCCGTTGCGGAGCACAGGCTCCGGACGCACAGGCTCAGCGGCCATGGCTCACGGGCCCAGCCGCTACGCGGCATGCGGGATCCTCCCGGCCCGGGGCACGAACCCGCGTCCCCTACATCGGCAGGCGGACTCCCAACCACTGCGCCACCAGGGAAGCCCACCCCAAGTTGTCTTTAAATCACTCTAATGACTTGCCAATATTTAAAAAAGCGAGTGTTCTCACAAAAGTCCAGATTTCCAGCTTCTCTTGAAAAATAGGAACTTGGCCTCACTGGGCCAACGGTGCAGCCCCCTTGGGTGGGCAGCAAGCAGCTCTGGGACCGGTCAGTCCCTATCAAGGTGCCAGTCACCAGGCGACAGGTATAATCGGGCTGGTGCTCTTGTTCTCTTTCAGTAAAGTGAAAAGTGGTATGTCTTTATCAAAAGATAAACTGTGAGGAGGGAATCTTTTACAACAAGGCAAAAAAAGAATCTATTTCTTCGTGGAAATGAAAAAAAAATAAGAGTTGAATATGCAAAGTATGTTAGATCAAAAGAATATAACCTAAGACGTCACTATGAAACAAGCGTGGCCAGCTTTTCTCATTTATGTTTACCTGCTTGGCCCTTGGACACCTGCTTTCATACAGTTGTTCATTATTAAAGTTCAATAGTCTTCATATATTCATTATTTTGTACATACCTCTTAACGATCATGTAAATTCTACCTATTTCTTTAAGATTCAAATCAATTGTTACTTCTTCCATGAAACGTTTTCTGATCCCCTGAATCAGGGGGAAAAAATCTCCATATTTTCAACGTTTGCCACATTCTATCATGTGTATATATTTTTACACACACACGTAATCTTTCCTTCCAATCTGTAAACTCTTTAGGAAGAGATCCATTGTCCATTTGTTCATTTATTCACCAAATATTTATTCTCGCCCTCTGACAGCCCTGGAGATGTAAGGAGTTTCTACTCTGGGAAGATGGTATTTTAAGGCTGCCACAGGGACAGGAACAGAGTTCTGTCCCAGTGGACATGATGCCTAAAGTGAGATGGAAAGAGTCTTGAAGAATAATGAGACTCAGGCAGGAGGAAGGAAGAGTTCCAAGCAGCAAAATAAAGCACGGGAAAAGGTCCACAGGCAAGAGGGTGGAAATGAAAGTAATTTGACATTGTTGGTCAGCCTGGCGGTAGGGTGACAAAAGATGAGGCTAGAGACAGGGAAGCAGAGGCCAAATCATAAAGGGCCTTGTACACCCATGTTAAAGAGTTAGCCTTATCCCAAGAGTACTTGGGAGCCAGTGAAGGGTATTAAGCAAAAGAGTGACATGGTCAAATCTGGTTTTTGACAGATAACCCTAGTTGAAGTGTGTAGAAAAACTGGGAGTGGGAATGTGGCTGAGAATGGAGGAAGAGAGACCAGTTGGGGGCAGTGATTCTTCAGGGGAAATACACGGTAGTTTAAACCACTGGGTTCATGGCACCAGACTAGTGAACTGGGTGGTTTTAAGAAATATTTAGGAAAAACGTAAGGAAATTTGGCAACTGATCAATTATTCTTGAAGCCCTCTTTTCTTATTCCTCGCACTAGATACTATTCACTGAATATATATATGTTCTTGGAATTAAAAAAAAAGCTGCCCCCTTTCAAAGATTTCCATCACAGCAACAAAGTAAGAACCCCACGTTCAAATAGGAAACCCACATTATCTAAGTTATAAAATCATCTGATACCATTACAAGAAAAAGTCACTGGGGTTGCTTTCATACAGTAGTTTTTCCCCCTTTTATTGAGATATAATTGATATGTAACATTGTGTAAGTTTAAGGTATACAATGTGATGATTTTGTTTTTTTCTTTTTTGGCCATGCCGCTCGGCTTGGGCTTGCGGGATCTTAGTTCCCCTGACCAGGGATCGAACCCGGACCCCCTGCAGTGGAAGTGTGGTGTCCTAACCACTGGACCACCAGGGAAGTCCCTACAATGTGATGATTTCACAATGTACATTGTGAAATGATGACCACAATAAAGTTAGTTAACACATCCATTACCTCACATAACTATTTTTTTTTGTAGTGAGAGCATTTAAGATTTAGCAACTTTCAATTATATAAGAGAGTACTGTTAACTAGAGTCATAGTAATTATAGCTTACATACCTCTTCATCTGCTAATCCTTCTTCTTCCATAGCCACTTCTAATTTCTTCTGCCTTTTCAAAAAAAATTATTTAAATTTTAATATGTACCTAAGTATTCCCATTTAAGAAATGTACATTTATTTTTTCAAGTTTACACTCAGTTTGCCATGCTAAAAAAATCTTTCAAGTTGAATCAAAATAATCACTAAGAATAGTGACTAATATTTATAAACATATATGCACATATAAATATTTCTTTCTCAAAATATAAATACAGTCCAGAATTAGCTGCCTCATACTAGCCAAATGAATAATTTACTTCTAAAGCTGCCTAAATGAATCGTTAGCAAAGGTGACTCATGTTCTGATACAGAAAACTCTGTTATCTAGTGTTCAAATCTCCAAAATCATTAACATTTATCAGAGTTTATACTAGATGTATAAAAAGGTAACTACAGTGACTAAAAGTAAAATTTTTTAAGGTGGACATCCCTGTGCTCAAACCTTGGTTTTAACGCTTATTAGCTAAAGGAGCTTGTCTAAGTGCTTCACTTAAACACTAAACTTGATTTTCCTAATTAATCACAGAAAGATGTTCAGTGCAATTAAGTATATTTTATTCTAATTCTTGGAAAATTGGAAAGTCATATACGTACATGAAAAAATAACCCATTAACTACCAGAACATTTGCTTTTCTAGGTATAGCCAAGTTCAGTTCTTCAATATTTTAAAATGCACCCTTAAAGTTACTTAAGCTACGGGTGAGGGGGGTGATGGATGAAATAACTAGTAACCAGAGAGATAGCTGTGGTACACATTTTGCAACTCATTTCCAAGTGACTATTAGTATTTTATTTCCATGGTATTGCTCTTTTTCCTAAAGATAAACCTGGGAGAGCTCGTCCTAATTAGTTTTGGAGCGTCTCAGATAAAGACTAACTTTCAGGGATTTATCCAAATGGGTATAAGGGCTGAGGATTGAAACCATCATACAAATCTTTTGGCATTTGTTGTTTATGACAATATGTCCAAAGATAAGCTCTTTTCTAAACCACTGTTAAGATCCTTTTTATTTCTTATGGAAAATTCACAACAAAAATACCTAAAGCCTGTTCATAAATCAGCACCTAAAAGTATATCCTCCACTGACTTTCTCAATTCTAGTAATAAGCACCTACCCTGATGCTAATCACACTGATTTTTATCTTTTTTTACACATTATTCACCCAAGCCCAACCCTTCCAATGGACTAAGTTCCTAATGCTGGATTCTGTGCCTGCCATCAGGCACCTCCGGGCGCCACAGAGCTGCTTGTTGAATGATTTGAGTTTTCTTCTCTGCAGGAAGAATCCAAAGAGTAAGAGGACCATTAACCCAGGAGGACTATCAATATACGAACAACTTTATTCTTCTGGCAAATCCCTACTGTCCCCTTTCCTCAATCCTTGCTAAAGCTAATATTTCAGTAAATTATCCCTCCTTCTAGGGAGACATGCAATAACTTCTATCCATTTCCATACCTAAATGAGAAGACCCAAGGACTTCTCTTGTACCTTTCTAAAAAATAGCTTTCCTTCTAAAATGACCTTATGCTTTGTTCTGATTGGTACTTTATTTGACTTATGCATTTATCCAGTTAATTAAGCCTTAAAAATTCATCACATGTTTCTTAAAGTATTAGCTTCTAGAAAATAGCTGACTATTTAATTTGACTTCCATGGCACCACCATGCTTTTTTTTTTAATAACAGTAGATACTTTTATTCCTATTTTCCTTTGTTTGGGAACAGAGAGCAAAACTGAATTATTTTAAGGTTTCAGCAATAAAAGACAATGAACCTTTAAAATTCTGATGAATAACTTGAGTGACTGTCGAAAAATACAGGTCTTTCCTTCCTTGGTTCTCTTTTACTTTATTCAGTCTCCCTTGATGATCTGCTCACTTCCAGAGACTTCCATTACATTTACAATTAGTATAATTTCTTACATGTTTGGATTTATTTCTAACTTATGGTGTGGTTTCTACTTGTGCCTGCCTTTTGGTATTTCAGTTTTCCTTTTTCCCTTGGCTTCTTCTGAACTTATTTTTCCCCCATCCATTTTCTTTCCTTCTATTAGTTTGAAAGTTACAAACTCTATTTTTATTCTTTTAGTGGCTACCCTAGAAATTACATGTACACTTAATTTGTCAAAGCCCTAAATTAACCAATCTTTACCCCTTTCTGTGTTGTATCCCTATCCTTAGAGACACACTGATCTCTAAGAACAATTTAATTCCACTTACTTCCCTCTTGACTGACAGTCTACTGCAGGAAAATACTTTTTTTTTTAATACATGTGACATTATCATTATTGTTGATTTTTCTTACACAGTCAATTTTGGCTGAGATTTAGCCACATATTTACATTTAGATCTTCTGAATGCGATCACTTTCCTTCTGCCTAAGTCGAATCTTTTGGAATTTCTGCTGATGGCAATCTCTTAGTTCTCTTTCCTCTCTTCCTTTAGGAAATTTGATCAAAGATACGTTTGTTCTCCTCACTATTCTCCACGTTTCTTAGCTCTCTTTTATATTTCCTTACTCTAAGTTGACTTCCGAATAGTTACTTAAGTTTCATTTTCTAGTTTTAATTCTCTCCCCAGCCACGTCTAATCTGTAGTTGGACCTGCCCAAAATTATGTTCAATACCAGATTCTTCCCCTCGAGTTCTGTTTCACTAAGTTGTACCACTTTCTGGTTGCCCAGGTGTGAAATTTCAGAGCCAGCGTTGACTACTTTCTCTCACATACCATATTTGGGTAGCTGCCATGTTTTTTCTGTCTTTCTCACTCAGTTCTTCCCTGTTGTCATAATCCTAAAGCAAGCCTCCCTTCCACTGGCCTGGACTACAGCGCTAGCCTTTCCTGTTTCTGATCCCTCCTCCCACAATCCACTCTGTACATCACAACTAAAGTAATCTTCCAGAGAAACACCTGTGATCATTTAAATCTTCTGTTCAAAAGTTTTCAAGGCTCTTTACTACCATGAAAATAGCTCCATTACAAAGCATCCAAGGCTCTCAGGAAACGGTAAAAATCCAGCTTGAGTTAAACTGGACAGTGCCTTGACCTGGCAGTAAAGGTGCTTTCTTCTGTCTCTGATATCCTTCCTCCTGCTCCTTAACCTCTTTCTTCTCCCTTTTATGTATATATAAATAGTACTCTTCCTTACGAGCTCTGTTTAAATGCCACCACCATTTATGAACCCTTCCCAGTGGCCTTAGTCAAAAACAATCTCCCCCTTCTTTGCCCTTCTCAAAGGGCATACTTTTCACCCTTTCATGTAATATTCATGTGCATTATCTCCCTTACTATATGTTTCCTGAAGGCAAAATAACGTCATTCATTCTTTTTATAATTCTCCCATTTCCACTGATATACACACAACACCAAATGTTTCTGGATTAAAGGCAGTCATTAAGTAGCCCTCTAAAAGAAAGTATAAAAAAAAAAGAAAGTATAAAGATATACCATAATTTCATGGTTAGAAACGTTTTGTTTAAAACATCAATTGACATGTGATATAAGTGTATAGGTGCCCAGGACAGGACACTATTCTGTGAAAATAAAACAAGGAACCAGGTATACTGTCAGCATACAGGGACCCACAATATTTATATTATTCATGGACAACATGCTTACATCCCACTTGCAGTATAACAGCTTACTTAACTACACAGAAAATTCTGACCAGCCTTTACTATACCTGGTTTCTCTCTCTTCATGCTGTAAAATGAGGTTGCTGTAAAAATTCTCCAGCGTGAGCTTGGCCACAGTCACTCTTTCCCGGGTATGGTTGCTCATAGGAAAGGTGGTTGTGGTCCCTGCCGTCATTGCCATAGTAACAGAAACTAGAACAACACAGAGACACAAATTACTCAATAGAAAGAAAACGTTCCATCCCTTTTAACAAACTCTAGAAATGGTTTAATTTCTACTAGTCAACAACATTTTACCCTAACAGTTAAGACATTCAAATGAAACTCAAATCCCTGTAGGAACCAGGCAGGAAACAAAAATGTGTGATTCAAGCCAGGTGACAACATGGAAGTTTTATGGCTTTTCCTGAACAATGTCTGTCTACTTAAAGCCAACTTTTAAAAACCACTGAGCCAGCCAAACAAAGTGCTGGTTTAAAGAAGATAATGTGGGGACTTCCCTGGCGGTCCAGTGGTTAAGAGTCCGCACTTCCACTGTAGGGGGCACGGGTTCGATCCCTGGTCGGGGAACTAAGATCCCACATGCCACGTGGTGTGGCCAAAAAAAGAAAAAAAAAAGATAATGTGGATAATTAGACAAGATAAGGAATGTAAGACTGATCTCTGGTGGCTGCTATAGGTGGGCACTGACCCTAAGAGACTTGCCTACCATAGTCCACATCTAGACCCCCAAAAACACCCCACAAAAAACAAACAAACAAAAAACCTAGAATGGTTCCATACATTAAAGAGGTTTTTGCTTATCTGGACGGGAATCATAACAGACTATCCTAGAGGAGATCCAGATTGCCAGGGTGACCATCCAATGTTGCATTCTTAGCTGAAAAGTATTCTTCCAAATCTGCCACCTATTTCCCAACACCTACCTCTCCTTAACTACATAAAGACACAGAGCACTGGATATCGACCTCAACTGGGCTATACTCCAGGGATAGTGGAATGAACCAAAGACCTTTCTTGTTCTTCATGTGAAACAAGTCAAATACAGGTTGAAAGTAAACAGTTTAACTATGGCAAACTCCCAGTTCCACTGTTGTCTTAGTGGGTTTATACCTCCATTTACTGCTTCAGCCTCATTATGTCGATTATTTTAACATCATAAACTTGTTCCTCTGCTGACTACTATAAATCTTTTTTTTTTTTTTTTGCGGTACGCGGGCCTCTCACTGTTGCAGCCTCTCCCGCTGCGGAGCACAGGCTCCGGACGCGCAGGCTCAGCGGCCACGGCTCATGGGCCCAGCCGCTCCGCGGCATGTGGGATCTTCCCGGACCAGGGCACGAACCCGCGTCCCCTGCATCGGCAGGCGGACTCCCAACCACTGCGCCACCAGGGAAGCCCCTATAAATCTTTTTATAACAAGAAGCTGATGACATTACTTGTTTAAATTGTTCATGGCACGTACAGCAAGTCAAATTAGCTTAGCAAGATAAACAAAGACAACCCACAAACGCGGAGTGCTGGTATCTAAAAGAAACTTGATGAGAGTTTATTCATTAATTTTCCCCTTTTCTTGCCTGAGGATTTAAGGCAGTGGCACTCCTAGGCATGACTGCATTTCTTCCTCACAGAAGCCTGGTAAAGAAAGGAAGTGAAGCTTGGACAAGTCACACAGCTGGTGAGCTGCAGAGTCCAACTCCACCCAAGTGCTAACTCCAACTTGCCTTTCTGGCCTTATCTGCTGCCCTTCCTCACCACTCACTCTTCTCCCAACATACTTGGCCCTTTCATGCCTCCAAGCCCTCACAGGACCTATTCCTGAACCAGTTACGTCCTACACTCTATTTGCAGGCATCCTGCTGATCCTTTACAGCCCAGTTTGTCTGAAGCCTTACTGCGGTGACTTCTCTAAGGTTCCCTGCCAGAAGAGACATCGATGGAGCAGAAGGGGCCAAACGGCATTCTTTCGAGCGTGCTCTCTACCATTTGTAACAAATACTCCCAGGACTGGTGCTGATCACTTCACCTGCCTATCCCCCTAAACTAGGAACACTTCTGGGCAAGAACTTTTTCTGAATCATTTTTGAGCATTCACCTTGATAGCACCGTATTGGACACACAGTAGGCATTAATGAGTGAAGGAGTCCACCTATCAAATGGCGGGGGGAGGGGGCGGTGTGGGAGGAGCATTGAAAAAATTAGCAAAAACTGCCTATAAAGGTTGGCAACTGTGGAAAACGAAACTTACTGAACCTTGGAGTCAGATATTTAGAGATCTAATCCAGGTCCTGCTGCTAACTGATCACATGGTCTTATTCAAATCACCAGAACGCTCTGAACTCAAGTCACTTTCCGGCCCAGACAGGAATTACAGTACTTGCTCTGCCTCGTTCACAGGCCTACTCTAAGGCCATCTGAGATAATATAACGTAGAAATTATACAAATGTAAGACATTATTTTAGGCATCTAGTTTAATTTTTTAATGTGCTTTAATGATAGTGAGCATTATTTTTTAAACGGTAATAAAAATAAGCTCAAGAATTATTCCGGCCAAGTGATTTTCAAGCACTAAGCTTGGAATGCTACCTAAGGCAATGCTGCCATACCGTCTCTGGAAATCTCACCTGGGTTCGTGTTTTATGTTTCAGGATCACATGCAGAAAAGTCAAAGAAAGGAAAAGAGGGAATGGGATTGTATATAGCAAACATCCCAAATCGTGTTTGCTAATTGGGATTTGGGGATTTGGTGAGGAGAGGGCAGCTGGGAGGATGGACTAGAGGTGGAGGAATTCAAGTAAATTTAGGAAATCCAGATTACACAAAGTTTCTTACTGCAAGACTTCCTGGCATCATTAATATGTTAATATGTGTCCTGAATCCTCAAAAGAGGGTTAGGTAAACATTTGCAGTAGTATTCTAGGGAGCCTCTTAGGCATATAAAATTAAAATTTATAGATAGTTATCTTTAAACACTGGTAAAAAAGTGCCTGCTACTCTTTTTCAATATCTGGGGGAGGGGGACTTAGAGACTCCAACAAAGAGTAATTAATACCTAGAAATTTTAGAGTGCTTTCTGATTTGTCCAGAGTATCTGTAGCTGATAGAGAATTTTCAGATTGGTTTGCCAATTTGCAGGAGGAAAAAAGGTCAAGACCCAACTATAGTTATCTATAGTTTCCTTTCAAAAAGTGAATGATGAAAAGACTAACAAACAAAACCATGCCCCTCGAAAAAAAGCACAAAGAAATAACACATCAGTAATATTTGTAGAAGTTGGAAAGAAAGATGTATGATGAACTCAGGGTGTGGCCTTGGAAGGCAGCTGACACGCTGCTCTGCTCTGTCTGGCAAGAAGCAAGGTCTGGCCTTCAGCTGCCAGCGTCGCAGGACAAGGGAATTCTGGAGGCTCCTTTATCCTCGCCAAGTTCACAAGAGACTGATACACAAGACATAATGGCAATTTGCTGATTCACACAATAAGAAACTGAGGAACACGAAACAGATACTTGTATCTCTGGGCAAATGTGCTCCGTCCTTGTAGACAAGCTGAATGTACAGACTGAAGAAGACTGCTTGGTAAGCATGGCATCAAAACAGAGAACTGTTATGCAATTTAACTGTTTAATGGCATAAGGATAAGGTGGAATCTTAAAAAAAAAAAAAGATCGATTGCTATCCTGCCCAGGACACCTCTGCCCACTTCAAAGTGGCTAGAGGAGATGGCCAATATTAAGCCCTGCTACTGACTGGGCTTTCCCAGATGATGCAAAATTGGGGGGGCTAGCAGTGGGCAGAAATATTACTGAGAAAAACTTTGGGGGAAATTTTTGTGAAACATAAAGAAGTTAGGGAATTGAAAACAATTCCAAACTACAGAAATTGTTTGCATTAACAGTACAGAAATAAATATGAAATTGTTTTAGATAAAGATTTTTGAACCTGAGGCCTTTATAAAAGAGGGGTAAAGAGAAGATCAGGTTTCTCCATTATAAAGACGTAATGAGTTTATAACTCCAAGATTCAGAAGTGGATATAGAGTAATGAAAAACAACTTCCAAACGCTGTATAATTTAACCATCATCACTATGGTCTTTCCATTCTAGTTATACATACATGCAAGAGTGCAAGCCCTGTTTAAAAACCAAATCAGAGCAAAACCTATGTCTATTCATCTTTGTAACGAAAGTATTACAGCACCTGGCAAAGTGCTGAGCACACAGTCGGCATTCTGTAAATGACGGTGAGTAACTGAACTCAAGTTTAATGGATTTTAAATTATATATGTCCCATATCTAATAATTTCCTTTGGATTAAAAACTAAAGAATTACTTACTGTTATGTTAAGCTTCAGAGAGACAAATCCTACTTGAGAGAAACCACTACAGTAAAAGCCAAAAATCCCACCCTTAGTCTTGACTGAATAACATCTTTTAGAGGTTAGCTTAAAAAAACAAGAAAAAATTATTACTCTCCAACCAGACACAGGGAGGCTTTATAAAATTCAAATTAAACATAACTAAGAACAGAAGTGACCAAGTTATTAAAAAGAATGGTCTGGATGACTGGCACTTATTATACTGCAGACTTATTCCTCTAATGGATTTCACACTGTTCTTTGTCTTTTACTAAAGCCCTTTCTTTAGCCAGAAAAAGAACAGGATACAATTTGCAAGTCTAGAATTCCTGGACTGATAAAAACAACACTAGGTGCCCTTGGATTTCCTGTTCATGTGTTTTCTCCAGACTCCCCTGTTCATTAATGGAGACTCTACCAATCGTTGAGTCCAGCATTCTTTCGTGTTTATCAAGCCTGGGGAAAGCAGATAACAAATCTGGCACTCAGGCCATCTATAAATACATGTAGTGCCTCCAGCATTTGCCATCACGCTTCTAAAATAGGAAAACAGAGCTGCTTCACCTGACTGGTGAAACACTATTTAATCGATGATTTCACCTTAGCTTCCTCATATTATATTTCAGAGTATCATTAATGCCTTGGTGTATAAAAATTTTCCTAGATTCATCATTAGTTGCCACCATAGTGTCCTAGGCTGCAACAGGTCCTCGGGTTGGACACTGTGTCCGCTGGGTCCCTAATGATAACAGAGCAGCCACAGCTTCTTTCCTCTATGAGGTACAATCCGAAGAGCAAGAAATTCACGGTCAGGTGAGAGTTCAAGTCCCAGCACTAAC